ATAGAGTTCTCCACACAATCCATCCACCCGTTGTAGACTGTAGGACTCCATCTTAACCTATCCATCAAAACCAGTCTTGACTTGTGGCAAGACTGAATGTGAACTGGAACACGTAACTATGCCTCCTGTACATTACAATAGGTGAATTGTTTTTCTAATGGCAAAAGAATATTATTGTCATAATATGACTAAGCCAGGACTCCGGTCCCTCTACAGTGCTAACATGGTTATGCAACTGAAGTACTAAAACATCTACGGTGACTGAACAATAATCAAAAAAATCATGTTTGTAGGTTACAAAGCTATGCACATAAAAAGTCTTGCTTAACCAACAGACACAGCAACATTTTATTTTAACCTTCAGAAATCAAAAGAACAAGTTCATGATTGATAATGGGAAAATCTCTCATTGTAACTACAGACTTAATGGGATGTATATCATTCTAGGTACATTATTATAAAATTTCCTCAATTTTTCTGTTCAGGTCAAACATTATATTTGACATGTAACAGGTTTAATTTTACTTCAATTCCATTTAGCTTTAGTTCAAATGAAGACTAGAGACTACTTAATTATGGTTTTGATTTTCCTTTAAAGGGGTTTTTTTACATTAAAAAAGAAGCAGCAACTTAGATTGCTACTAAAGTTGTATCCCATTTACCAATACTGTAGATAGTTACACATTAAATGAGATTTTTCTATAGCTAGGTATTTTTATCATGTCCATCCACCTTCCAGACCATCATCTTTCTTCTGTTTATGACATTACATTGTTTGCTACAGTAATAATTGCAGTAGCAGTTGTTTAGACTTTCCTGAACTTTCTTCGACCAAACATGTGGAGCAGAAGGAGAAAAGGAAGCCAACAAATTTAAGCACCAAATGCAGTATAAAGTAAAAATGTGTACAGAAAACGAAGAAAAACAAAGGAGAGATGACTGGGTTTATTTATTAGGTATGATACGAGAAAGTTTCCTATAGTTTTTCAACCAGAAGTTATGGGTTTGATGCTAGAATCATTGGGTGAAGTTCTATAGCCGTTAAAGGAGGTCAGACAAGGTGAAAACACTGGTCCCTTCTAGCCTTAAAAATGTATGACTAATGTATTCTCCTTTAAAATGTTCTCCCCTGGTAATTAACCAAAAACTGAGGAAGGCAACTGTCTATATTCTTTTAAATGTTTCCATCAACTAATGACTGAAGATTCACCCCTGCACTGATGCCAGCACTAGCAGAGGGAAGACCACTTGAGCATCCCCCATTTAGGGGTTTGAGGCTAGTTTGGCCTTTGGTACAAACTAAGGCAAGCCCTTGCTTTCACTTTGTGTCCATGCTGTAACAGTTTGTATGAACCCCTGCAGGAGTACAGAATCTCTAGATTGCAGGACTAACCTGACCACACCTCCTCCTACTCCCAACACAACCAAGCCCACCCCTATTGCACAGTTGGCACTAAGATGAAAAGGGCATTCCTATAACAGAGGTATTTCCCGCCAGGGCTTATGCCTGTCCAATGGCCCCTGTGTGCCAGCTAAGCTAGCACAAGAGGGCCTTTGGGCAGTGATGAACATGGCCCACTTCCTCCTTCTAAAACAATTACAGGTTGCATAATATAAATAATTCTAGTTAGATATGAACCCTAACCATACCCCTGAATCCAATCCCACCCAAACTTTTAGATTCCACAGTTCTAGCACAATGAAGAGAGGCAAAATATACCAATATGAAAGGTCAATTCTTTTCTCATGTATGAGCTTCCAGTTCTTTGAATGGAACTTGCTCCTAACACTAAAATATGGGGGATTAAATGATGCTTGTATAAAACTGCAGTTCAGACTGTATGCGGTTCAGGGCTGTATGAGCTCTACCAGCAGCGTCAGAGACTTCTGCTACTATTCCTTTAAGTTAAGTTTGTGTAAGGAGTGAATAATTAGGCTGTCATTTATTATTTGTTTTATTAGTTGAGATACCAGCTTGTTTTGTCTTCTCCCTGAAGTACCAACACATTTGGAGTTCACACTTTGAATACTAAAAGCGTCTTAATTCAAGGAACAGCAACTCAGGTCAAGACACTCCTATTCCAGGAAGGTGGTATTGTGAATCCTCCGTCACCCCATGAACTCGGAATTGAGTATTATGCAGTCATTCATTTGGTGCAAATCTGGTCCTCTTCTCCATGGCCACAAAAGGCCAGCCCCTTGCCAGCAGTTTCCATGCACAAGCAATGCAGATGGATTTGGGGTTGCCAGGCAGGGGTGCACACCCGCTGCACAGCCTGCAGATCAGGTCCCTGGTCACTCCAGGGCCACATGGATCATATGGAGATGGGGCATGGCCAAAGGTTTCACTGTTGTTAAATCTCCAGGGCTCCACCACAGAAGAAGTGTATTAGGGCAACAGGGTTGGTAGAGTCTGCAAAGCCATTCCATTCCCTGTAAGGAAAAAAACTCTTTTGTCCCGCCACATCCATAATGCCCAAACCAATTATTCTGGTTGGATTCTGGACTGATGACTTACATGTTAATACTTAGTCAAACAATAACGTTTGCCGATACTTCCAAAATATTGTTTTGCAGAGGACCCTCCACTGATAATCAAAAGGCAAATGGTTTCAGACTGAACTAAGGTGTTTCATCTTGGAATAATCTGCAGAACTACATATATAATGCTTATATTTGAAATGTTGACAGAAAAGAAAAACAAGCCAGCTATGCATACGGATGCAGCATGCAGCTATTAAACACAACCTAGCTCATTAGTATTGAAATTAAATACAAAAAAAAAAACCTCAGATGAAACTCCAAGATCAATTTGAGCCAGTTTGCAGGCCAGAGAAATCCTCATTGTCTCCTCACAAGTGACAATGAAAGCCTTATTGAAACCACAGTTTTAAACTGATGAACCTGAGATAGAGTCATGGGCTTCCTTGAACTCCCAGGGGTAAAATTCTGTTCTGGACTCACAAGCATAGCTCCCATCGCCTTCAATGAGAACCCTTCATGGACAACTAATGCTGGAATTTGACTTAAGGGAAATGAACATAACTCTAAACAGACACCATCTCGTACTTCACCTATGAGAAGTCAATTCCCTTAGCTGAGTAGTAATTAATTTATAAATAGAGATTCTTCTTCAGAAACACAATACATGTTGCAGTCCTGCCCCACTCACCCCATTCCTGGAAAACACACACTTGTTTTAATACCACTGTGTGCACATTGAAATCAGTCCTTTTCCTCACTATTTCCCGCTTTGAATAAATATGGTTTTAAAGAGCTCCCCTAAAACAATTAACATTTTAGACTCACTTCATCCAATATTCTTTGTAATATTCACAATCTCACAACGAAATCATAGGAAAGGCTGAGGAAAGTGCTCACCTATCTAACAAAATAATATTTTTTTGTTTTAGAATAAATGTTTTAGCTTTAACAAGTCCTATAGGAGGAACAATGTTCATGGGGTTGGCTCCTACTTACAATATGGGCATATTGTGATTTTCAGATTCTTTTGGGTTTGATAAGCCTCAAACTCCTTGCACTGCTTTACATACTCTCAAAGGAATTAACCTTATTCCTTCGATATGCAGTATAGAGTGAGGATGTTTTTATTACATTAATTAGTTATCATAATAAAACTGACTCAATTTACTAATTAGAGACAGTTGAAAGAAAAAGTTTTATTCTAGGAGGCTAGTAATTGCAGAGAACCTTACAAATACTAAGTCAACTGAGAGTCTACACCAACAGAAGTCCCTATAAAGCTTGGTAGTGGTCTCCAGTGATAGAAACTCCATCAGGTGAGGTGTGGCACAAAAAATGGCTGAAACAGCTCTACCACCAGGGCACTCGCTGGAGTTCACAGGAGCCTGCACTGTCCCAAAAGCACGCAGAGTTAGACAGAGTGACCAAAGAATTCAGTGCATGTAACCAACGGTCTTTGCCAGCTGGTTTCCTAAAGCACCCTGACCACAACTTAAAGCTGTCTTCCACTGAAGGAAGACTGCAGGCAAGCAGGTGGTAAAAACACTCCCTCCCACACTCAGAATGAATCCCCACCCTGGACACAGAAGAACCAGGCTGGCATAGGAAGCCTGGTAATTTATACCTTCCTGTACTGACTCTAGTGCATCTAATCCGCTAAATGGTGTAATGTAGCAAAGGTTTTAAATTAAAATCAATAATGTTCCTTCTGCTATTTACACACTAGATAACATCTGTTGCATAGCCTTTCAAACTTAGCATTTCAAACCTCCCCATCCAAAGGCTAACGCTGTTCCCTTGCTCCCAAAACACTGAAGAAGGGAACAGTTGTTTAAGTAACGTACATCTCTGACATTGGCCTTTAGAGCAACAGCCATTCTAAATAAACTATTAAAGTTTTGTGGCTTTCAGAACACACTGACTAACGGATTTAGTCTTCAGCATTTAAATTGCCTGCATGCTGTAGATGTTATGTTAGTGACTGTATAAGCCTCTGAGTGTTTAAAAAAAGAAATCCATGCAAGACAGGAATCATACAGCATCCCTATGAATATCGAAGACCCTCTCAATATAGGCTAATCCACCTGCACGCCCAAGCAGTGTGAATTACAGCTAATTTGAGTACCTCAGACAGCTATATACTTACCTAAATGTACCACCATTTCCAGGGGAACAAGTACCAGCTTCAAAGGGAACCATTTCTAACAATGATATATCTCTAGAAATGCTGATTCTGAAGATAGTACATGCAAAATAACGTCACAGCGCAGTGGGTAAACTGACACAAGAGGTTACCTGCGTTTGGATTTGGGCAACAGTTATTTTACTGCTCATGTGTCTCTTAAACAAGGTGACTGAATCTAATAACTACCATATATTTTAAAAAGACATCTCATTCTGATATTAAATACTAGTATCAGCTTATAAAATAATTCTCCCTGTAATGATTAGTCACATTCAAAAGCAACAGATCCGTCCCGGGAAACAGCACAAAAACAAGGAGAGGATCTACTCACATTCCTTTGAGCCGTTGCCACATTTTCTCAGCGTGTCCTCCTATTTGGTACTTTAAAGAGGTGCCTTCCAGTTCCCGGGCCGTTTCAGTAGCTCTAGACCCCATGGTAATTGTCCTACAGCAATACAGTTACAATCAGGCTCAGCAGCAAGTAAAAGCATTCCTTAGTCCACTACAAACGTCAGAGGATCCACACGTTATACAGTAGCAGCTCTCATCTATCCAAACATTTCAGAATTACAAAGCTAAGGAAAGCTTCTGGCTGAATTGCTATTTACTTTGATAGACAAATCCACTCTCTTTCTCCCCCTAAGCACACAGCACTATAAACAGCTTCTCTGACCTCACAAGTCTACTCCATACATGTGAGCCAGCTACTACACTACTCACTGACTGACTGCTCAAGCTCTATCCCCATGCACTTCACTTGTTGTAGGTATATGCACGTAAGCACAAAAGCTTCCTTAAAATGTATTAGAATTCATTGCCATGCAGGAGAAATGTGAATGACTTTAGCAGTCCAGAAAAAAATTATTATTATTATTTTTTTTTTGCTGCTGCTGCTGTGCAGGTCGGAAAAGCAGGCTGCAATAGGAAAGCAGACAGTAGAAGCCAATATCAGCTGCACCACCGTAAGAAATGAACGCCTGCTTAAATGCCAGAGCTTTTGTCTCTTTAGGTGATCCTGAATTGGTCTTCAAGGAATAAATATCTACCAGCCTCTTAACAACATAACTGAACAAACGTTAAGTTGGGACTCTAAGACATGTATAAATCCCTTCAGAAGAGTAATTAGAGAGCTCTACAGGTTGTTATTGAAGGAATATGCTGTAATCATGACTATTCACCTTCTCCTAGCAACTCCACACAGTAGGCAACTGTCAATTTAACTGGTGGAAAATGCAGCAGCTGCAAGACAGCCTGCTGAATGAATCCTTTGGGACAATAGCTTGCGTGTGTCAAAATCCGATGTTGAACTGTTTGTGCATGCCAGAGAAAAAATTAAGTGCATGTAAAGAGCAAAAGGAATGAGAACTAAGTGGTCTGCCAGCCATGCAGCAGATTGCCAGCTCTGTCTCTACAGCGCAAACCCATGCATTTAGTTGCACAGCCAAAGCTGCTGTTTGACTAGAACTCGGGTTAGCTCTGCATCACTATATTTTATTGCTTGCTCAACTGTGTTTGCAGAGCTTTTCAAAATTCGATCTTTATTTTATAAACATCTTCCTTCTTGTTTTGTGAATAGACAAGGATCTGCAACTCTGGAGAAAGATCCAACTAGTCCCAGATACCACTAGCTTGTCTGTGCATCGGTTTCAACCATACAGCATTGTGTATGTTTAAAAGTAACAAAGATGTGAGGTTATGCGTGATCTCCATCTGAAGTGGCTGGCAGAGATGGGTGAAAATGCCAAGGAAAAAGAAAAAGAACAATCACAATAATTCACTGTCACTGAAGTTCCCCTATCCATTTCCCTTCATTTTCTCATAAGTTTCCTAATGGATGATTTCCTCTCCATTAAAATACATTTTTTAAAAATATCCCCTTTATGTCCTATTAATCTCTATTCTGTACTGGCCCCTGCTTTTTCCTCACTGATTTCTATCAGAGAGATCATTAGCTGATGCATTTCATCTCTTTCCCAGGTTTCACCTCTCACTTGCACTGGTTTTAAATTGGTGTTGTTACATTGACTTCACTAGAAGTATTCCTGATTCTCACAGGCACAAGAGAGAAAGAGAAATCAGGCCCATAGATTTCAAAGGGTTTTTTTTTAAAAAGTCAGTGTGTGATCTACACCTCCCCTAACTTTTGCTTGCAATGAAGAGTGTCATGTGACAAAACTGAAGAACCACAGAAACAATCACTTTCTTTAAACACTGTGTCATAAATATAAAGGGAAGGGTAAACACCTTTAAATCCCTCCTGGCCAGAGGAAAAACCCTTTCACCTGTAAAGGGTTAAGAAGCTAGGATAACCTTGCTGGCACCTGACCAAAATGACCAATGAGGAGACAAGATACTTTCAGAGCTGGAGGGGGGCAAGAAACAAAGGGTTCACTCTGTCTGTTTTTTTTGTTTGTTTGTTTTTGCCCGGACCAGAGCAGGAATGCAGGTTAGAACTCCTGTAAAGGGCTAATAAGCATTCTAGTTAGATATGCGTTAGATTCTGTTTTGTTTAAATGGCTGATAAAATAAGTTGTGCTGAATGGAATGTATATTCCTGTTTGTGTGCCTTTTTGTAACTTAAGGTTTTGCCTAGAGGGATTCTCTATATTTTGAATCTGATTACCCTGTAAGGTATTTACCATCCTGATTTTACAGAGGTGATTCTTTTACTTCAATTAAAATTCTTCTTTTAAGAACCTGATTGCTTTTTCATTGTTCTTAAGATCCAAGGGTTTGGGTCTGTGTTCACCTATGCAAATTGGTGAGGATTTCTATCAAGCCTTCCCCAGGAAAGGGGGTGTAGGGTTTGGGAGGATTTTTTGGGGGGGAAGATGTTTCCAAGTGGGCTCTTTCCTTGTTATATATTTATTAGACACTTGGTGGTGGCAGCAATAAAGTCCAAGGGCAAAAGGTAAAATAGTTTGTACCTTGGGGAAGTTTTATCCTAAGCTTGTAAAAATAAGCTTAGGGGGTTTTTCATGCAAGTCCCCACATCTGTATTCTCGAGTTCAGAGTGGGGAAGTAACCTTGACATGGTGGTGGAGCGGTGGGATTAATTTGAAATCATTTTGATATCAATTTGAGATTTTTTGAACCAGAAGCATAAATTTTTTTAAAAGGAAATATTTTTTTCCCTTTGGGCTGCTGGAAAGCAGGTTTTAAGCTGAAAGTAGTTAGAGTTTCTTTTGTCTCTGCTTGGGGGCCAGAGCAGAGACAAAAGGGAATTGTCTTTTGTGAGCTGGAGTTTTCTCTACCTAAAGGCAGGGTAGTTAACCTTCTGCAGGGAAATTCACAAGTCTTCACAGACCTGAAGTTGTTTTTTACCTAAGAGCAACTAGAGGGGTTTTCTGTCTATTTGCCTGGAGACAAATGTGTTAGTTTGTTTGGTTTTTTTAGGATTTTTCTGTAGGCTGACAATCACTATCAGAGAACATAAGTATCTGGTTACAGCACAGCAAAATTTTACAAGCCAAGTTATTTGTTTTTTTTAACTCTCGGGTGTAAAGTTAGTTAAAAACAGAGAAGCAAACATGACAGAGCCCAAGACAGAAACAGCCAAAGAGGCTGTCCACAGGAGAGCTATGGAGGCAGCGAAAGAGGCAGAAAAACACCAAGGAGCTGCTCACAAGAGAGCTATGGAGGCAAGGGAAAAAGAAATGGAGGAGAGTGAAAAAGAGAGGAAGCATGAACTGGAGTTGGAGAAGGTAAGGGCTGAGCAGAATCTACTGGATAACCCTAACAATCCTTCCCCAACAATCCACAAATGGGAGCGACTATGTCCACAGTATGATGAATCCAGTGATATTGCTGAATATTTTCTCACCTTTGAGACACTGAGCACTCTCCATAAAATTCCTGAAGCTCACAAGATGACCACATTGGTCGCAAAACTAACTGGAAGAGCTCTGGACATATTCAATAAGATGCCTATTGATGAGGCTTCTGACTATAATAAGTTCAAGGATTTGGTTTTAAAGCAATTTCAAATCATATCTGAAACATACAGAGTAAAATTTCGAACCCTTAAGAGAGGGCCTGGACTAAGTAATGTGGCTTTATCTAAACCAGATGAAGAATCTGTTAGATAAATGGGTCCAAGGCAGGGGTGTCACTAGCTTTGACAGAATGTGTGATTTGATAGCTCAGGAGCAATTCCTGAATACGTCCAAGGAGGAAATAAAACAGTGTTTATGGGACAAGGAAATGGACTCAGCAGAAAGTCTTGCTTCTTATGATGATCAATACAAACAGTCCCAGACCACCAGAGAGGCGGGGCAAGCTGGAACAAAACGGGTGGAGGGAGGAGAGAGAAACAACCCTGGTCACAGTTGGAGCAGATACCAGAAGGGAAAGCCTCAGACTACACCCTACTACAGCCCAAGTCCCCAACTACACACCAAGGAATACTCCAGACCCCTTATCATCCTGCCACACCGTTCTCCAGCAACCCACCTCGCCCCCAGTGACCCGTCAGCTGGATGATGTTTTAAATGTAACGAGACGGGACATGTGAAGGCCAACTGCCCCAAGAACCCCAACAGATTACAGTTCATTGCACCGGAATCACACCAGAAGTCCTCAGGCCCAGATACCTCCCAGATACCCTCAGAGCGGAGGGAAACTGTGAGTGTGGGTGGGAAGAAGGTCACCATGTGGAGGGACACCAAAGCACAAGTGTCGGCTATCCGTGCTTCCTTAGTGGACCCCAATTTAGTCGACCCAGAGATCCAAGTAACAATTCAACCCTTCAAGTCCAACTCTTTCAATTTGCCTACAGCCAAGTTGCCTGTCCAGTACAAGGGCTGGTCAGGAACGTGGACTTTTGCAGTCTATGATGATTATCCCATCCCCATGCTGTGGGAGGAAGACTTGGCCAATCATGTGAAGCTAGCCAAGAGGGTGGGAATGGTCACCCGCAGCCAGGCTAAGCAAGCCGTCCCGCCTAGCTCTGTTCTGGAAAATTCCACCAGGACCCGGTCAGAGGTGATGGATCTGGACCCCATGCCAACGTCTGCAACGGCAGTAGTGGATCCAGTCCCAGAGACCCAGACAGAGCCAGTCCCAGAACCGGAACCGGCAGCAGCCGATAACCCTACACAAGAGGCTCAGCTGGAGCCTGAATCCCAACATAGTGCACCAGCGGAGAGCGGTTCACAGTCAATGGAAACAGCCCCATCCCCTACATCACTTCCAGAGGGACCAAGCCTAGGTTCACAATCCAATGAGGAACTGATTCTCCAGCATCAAAGGAATAGTTCCAGACTGAACAGGAAGCAGATGAAAGCCTCCAGAGAGCTTGGATGGCGGCATGGAGCAACTCCCCGCCTCTCAGCTCTTCTAATCGATCCAGGTTTGTTGTAGAAAGAGGACTTTTATACAAGGAAACTCCTTCTGGTGGACACCAGGAAGACTGGCATCCTCAGAGACAGTTGGTAGTTCCAACTAAGTACAAGGTAAAGCTCTTGAGCTTGGCCCACGATCATCCTAGTGGCCATGCTGGGGTGAACAGGACCAAAGACCATTTGCGGAGGTCATTCCACTGGGAGGGAATGGGCAAGGATATTTCTACCTATGTCCGGTCTTGTGAGGTATGCCAAAGAGTGGGAAAACCCCAAGACCAGGTCAAAGCCCCTCTCCAGCCACTCCCCATCATTGAAGTTCCATTTCAGTGAGTAGCTGTGGATATTCTGGGTCCTTTTCCAAAAAAGACACCCAGAGGAAAGCAGCACATACTGTCTTTCATGTATTTTGCCACCCGATGGCCGGAAGCAGTAGCTCTAAGCAACACCAGGGCTAAAAGTGTGTGCCAGGCACTAGCAGACATTTTTGCCAGGGTAGGTTGGCCCTCCGACATCCTCACAGATGCAGGAACTAATTTCCTGGCAGGAACTATGGAAAGCCTTTGGGAAGCTCATGGGGTGAATCACTTGGTTGCACCCCTTACCATCATCAAACAAATGGCCTGGTGGAAAAATTTAATGGGACTTTGGGGGCCATGATACGTAAATTCATAAATGAGCACTCCAATGATTGGGACCTAGTGTTGTAGCAGTTGCTCTTTGCCTACAGAGCTGTACC